CATATGGTTGCTCACATGATATTAATCTTATACTGTTCTGGTTCAACATATTTATATAAACATAAAGCTTTCTCCATACTTCTAAGACTATTACTTATCACCTTAATTCTTTTAGAAAATTTTAATGCTTCCCTAGAGAAAAAGAATCAAGAATCAGGGGTAAATGTCATAATAATTAAATCTATTACATACACTTCAATTTCATCACAATACTTTTCAATTAAAAAAAAACCCATACCTTATCCTTCTTCTAAATTTTGGTTTCTTTTTGCCAGTAGTGTTTCTGGAAACTTGCATCTATAAAATAACAACAAAAGGATGAATTAGTTCAAATGAGACTAGATGAGTTCAGTAAGATAATGAGTCCAAATGGCCCAAGTAATTTAGTCCAGAAGAAAAACTCTGACCTGTAGGTCTCAACCACACCTATAACTCTAAGTCAACCACCTCATAGTCACTACAATTACACCAATCTTCTCAACTTCCAGGAATGGTAGACTAATCCAATATGAATTCCCATCTCCCATATCTACTTCCCTTCCTCACTTCACAGACACATAATAATACAAAGTAAAACAATCTTTACATTTTTATACATACATGACCTTTAAAAAAGAAAGAACTATTCAGATGCCAGAAACATGTGGAATGCAAAACTATAGATAGGAACTGACATGGTGAAGGCCTACCAAAAGTGTATACCAGGATAGGGCCAAAGGGCTTGGGATTTTAATGTCTAAGCAAAGACGAGATGAAGGATGTGGAGAAATTGGAACCTCCCTACATTGTTGAAGGGAAGGTGAAATGGTGGAGCCACCCTGGAATATAACTTGATAGTTCTTCAAGATGCTAAATGTAGAATTGCTATGTGATTCAGCAATTCCATTCCTAGGTATGTACCCAAAAGAAACAAAACTATTATGTCCATACAAGAAAATGTATATAAATGTTCACAACATAATTATTCATAATAGTCAAAAAGTAGAAACAACTATCAATGGAGAGATGATATGTGATCTATCCATACAATGGAATATTATTTAACCTTTAAAAACAATGACTAATTATACTGAAAAATACTAAACATGGGTGAATCTTGAAACCATTTTGCTCAGCGAAAAGTGAAAAAAGTCAGAACCAAAGACCACATGTTGTAGGATTCCATTTATCCAAAATGTCCATAAATAGGCAAATCCATAGAGACAGAGAGAGATTAGTAGTTTCCAGGGACTAGGAAAAGGTGGGAAATGGGCAGTGACTGCCAATGGGTATGAGGTTTTCTTTTAGGGTGATGAAAAAATGTTCTAAAATTATAAAGTGATCTTTGTTGCAAAACTGTGATTATACTAAAAACCACTGAATTGTATACTTAAAAAGAGTGACTAAATTACATCTCAATAAAGGTATAATTTTTTCAAAAACTTGGTGACATGGAAAAATGGAAAGTAAAGAGATAGAATATATCAATGACTAGCAAAAGGAACCCAATGTAGCAATATTACTGTTAGAAGAAAGCATAATCAGAGATAAAAAAAAAAGCTATTACCTAATGCAAAAAGAAACAATCCACCTAGAAAGTATAACAGTTCTGACCTGTCTATACATAAAATCTTAGCCTTAAAATACATAAAGCAAAACAGAAAAGAATTACAAGTAGAAACTGATAAATTTACAGTTATAATGGGATATTTTTATTTACTTCTCATAAAAAACTTATAAAGCAAAAAAATTAGCAAAGAAACAGGAGAATTCAACAATACAAATAATAAGTTGAATCTAATAAACACATATAGAAACTGGCACTGAATAATTAAAGAATACATATTGTTTTCAAGCTTGAAACATTACAAATTTGACCACCTCCTGGTCACAAAGGAAGCCTCAAAAATAGTAACCGCTGTTTTAGAGCCATACTCACTGACTAAAATACATTAAGAAATCAAACCCCAAAAGATAAGTGAATAAAATTTGTAATCAATTCATAGATGTAGAAGAATTTATACTGTCCCATAAACCTTTCTGTCATAAGAGTTATGATCTATGTCATTTAGGTCAGAGTTCTTTTCTCATATTTTAGTTACTGGTATATGTGACTTAGCTTCTCACTTGGTAGTACATTTGTCTCCATGCCATACCCTGCATGCCATAGGTGCAGATAAAGTGTTCGTGGAACAAATGAATGAGTAAGTGTTCAGACAGAGATACAATAAACACAAATATCACAAGGAGAATACAGTGTCAGTGTTCCCGTCCATTCTGAACTGTCCTGTTTGTCGATTTAGGCTTTTAACGAATTCGTACGATTCACCCTCATTTCCTAAGACAGAACCTCAATGCCACTTTCACCTCTATGTTTGTTACCTTCTTTTATTTGTCTTTTCACTTTTACCTGCTAAAGTGAGCAGTGTCTCAGCCTATTTTGTCTAAATCTTTCATAGTTACACTGATCTTAATTTTACTGATCTTGAATTAAGTATCCACACTGCAAGGGTGGGATTTTTTTTTTTCTAACATACTAAATGTTTAGCAGCTAGCAGAGTGCCATTCATATTGCTATGTTCAAACGCATTAACTATAATGAGATGAAGGCTGAATTTAATAACTCTCAAACATTATTAAATAGCTTAAACACCTTAATAATCATTCAAGGGAAGTTTGTAAAAAAACACTCAGGGAATTCATATTATTATGATGCCAAAAAAATAGGTGTTTTTTTGTGATCTTCAACCTCAAGTTAATATTCAAATATTTTTTCCACCATTTGTTTTATATATATATGAAAGTAAATAAGGTAAAAAGGTATATGGAACTAGATTGTCTAAATCATTGATCTACATCTCTATAAAGACAATGTACAGCTATTATTTTTAACTCATTATTAAGGATCAGCTTAAAGTATGTGCATATTTGAGTTTAAAGTGAAAGCGTTGCTACAAGGGGAAATAAGATTAAGGTAACAAAGTACAAACTATTTCATAGGTATTAATAGAAAGAAATACTGTTAAATAGCTACCATAAATCAGGAAGATTTCTGTTAGAGATAATAAATTCCTTCCTACTTTGTTAAATATTCCACAGCAGCCAAAATGAACTAGTCAGTATCACCAAATGTCCTGTGCTTTCCTGCTCCAGGGCTTTGATAAAATATGACGTGATGGAGAAGAACACTAAATTTGGAATGACAGGATCATGATTTGAATTTAATCCCTGGTACTTATTACCTGTATCACTTTTGGTAAGTCACTGACCACTGGAATATCTAGCAAGAGCCTGGTATGAAGTCAACACTTAACAAATATTTCCCAACTAAATGGCTATTCTGCATTTCAGGATATTCTTTTACAACTACTGCTTAAATAAATAAATAAATAAATAAATAAATAAATAAATAAATAACTACCTCAGAGCATTTAGGGGTAAGATGAAATTAAATACCATGCCAGAAAGTATCTAACCGTACTCAACAATTAGTCTACGTTTGATCATTGTTTGTTTAACCTATTAGACTGCTCCACTGGATTAGTGTCAGAATTCTATCCTTTTTCCTTAAAGCATTTGACAAATGGAACTTATTAGCACTTTGGTATGGTTGGACTTATGGTCCATTCATTCCCCAAGGTTGCCATAACAAATTACTATGAACTTGGTAAAGCATCAGAAATTGATTTTGTTATAGGGCTGTAGGATAGAAGTATGTCTCTTATGGACAGACTCTTTTGTGTGTGTGTGTTTGAAAAAAAAAATGTTTATTTATTTTGAGAGAGAGAGAGAGAGAGAGAGAATGAGGAGGGGAGGGGCAGAGAGAGAGAGATAGAGAATCCCAAGCAAGCTCCACACTGTCAACACAGAGCCCAATATGGAGTTTGATCCCACAAATCAGGAGATCATGACTTGAACTGAAATCAACAGTCAGATGCATAACTGACTGAGCCACCCAGGTGCCCCTGGACAGACCCTTAAGGACAATTTCATTGGGTTAGGATCCACCTAATTCAGGATGATTTCATATAAAAATCCTTACCTTAATTACATCTGCAATGATCCTTATTCCAAATAAGGTCACATTCTGAGGTTCCTGGTACTTTTGGGATTCACCCACAACTAGATACTATAATCTTTATCTATTCCACCCCTTCCACTTCTCTTCCTGTGTTACACTGCTGATTCTCCTGTGTCGTCGAGCCCCAGGCTATTCAGAATCAGGACCACCATGTGAGAATCAGCAACAACTGAGAGTTTGTTAGACATGCAAATTCTTATGTCCATCCTAGGCCTACTGTGGGGTCCAGAAATCCATATTTAAATAAGCTATTCAGATGACTTGTATGCAAACTGGAGTTTTTCAGGCATTAGTCTATCTAGCCCACACCCATCCATACAAATATGTTATATATTGTCATTGATTATAAGGAAACCAAAGCAAGTATTAATCCTTTTCTTGTTAGATCTAAAAAAAACAAGAGACATACATAAAGAGGGCAAATGCCATTTACTGCGAAAAAACGTGTGTGTGTGTGTGTGTGTGTGTGTGTGTGTACATATATATAATGATAATTAGGATTACTGGCTTGAATTGCAAGTGATAGAAGTGCCTCTAATTGCCAAGATCAGATAATCCATAGGAATTGTGTTTACATCAGATTTATATAATCTTCATAAAGTGACTTGACATTGTCCATTTCCTTAAATCACTATTCATCTAAATGAAAATCATTTTATTTTTAAGAAGAACAAGTTTGTTAGCTGTGTTAAATCTGAGGATATAAAATTTTGATTCAGCATTTTATGCTCATAGAAGACATAAATATGTTTTGTAACCTTCCATTGAGAGTAATTATCAGTCAATGATCACTAAAGAGATGCTTACTTTGACAGAATTTCCAAACATGAATCTGTGCCTTGAATAATGTACACAAACTCCTTGTCAAAAGTTATCATATAGAAGGAAATGCCAATATTCTCATTTCCCTTTGGAAAATCTACTGGGAAAGTATGCTTGGAATAAGGATGAAAACCAGTTTTATGCAGCATTGTAAGTGGTGGTTATTACTTAATCTGAGTATCTGGAGAGTACAAATAATAAAGTTAAGTCTTCGGACCTAGATAATGATTGTTTTTCAATCTTCTTTGAAAAGGGGGAAAGTTAAATAATCATTTTCTGGCTCTATTTTAAACACGATTTTAATAGAATACAAATCTAGTGCTTCTTACATAAATGTCAGTCAATTACCATATGCTCCAGTCCAGTCACTCTCACTAGAGTTCAGTATTCCTGCAAGATTTGGACAATATCAGAG